CTTCACTGCTATGCAAATACTGCAAAATACTTTATTTTAGCTGGAATTAATTTTTGTATGGAATTTATTTTCACTGATTTTTGACAAGTTGAATGTAAAACTAAGTTTCGGAGTTAAACAGTAGACAGTATAGTAGGAAGGACAAGTGATTCCAGCGATTCTATTGTAGCAGGGTAGGCTGGAAAAAAGTTAAGCTGATTTCAACTAACCGTTAACATAAACTAAATAATAGTCAGTAAACCATAACATAATAAGATTCATGCATCATGAAAACAAAAATATTCAAGTATTTTGTCGAAAACGGGGTACAGACTGAATATAGCATGTACAGAAACATTACTGTCGTCTGAAACTAACTTTTAATTTTATTCAATCAAACAGGAACATATATATTAAAAGTCATATTTTTTACTAGTGAACTACGTTCACGAGAACATCTGATAACTATTGTGTGTTCTGAAGATGCGTATTGCGGAAAGAAAACGACTCGTTTGGGGAAAGATACTTGTAGTTCGATACGAAAGTAGTGACATCGCATCGAAGTAAATATGACGTCATTGTTTACTTGCTCATCATAATATTCCAGCCCAGCTTGCGTTGGCATACGGCGTAATATGACATTGGTGTTACTATACTACTATACTGTCTATGGTTAAACAGGGCCCAAATTGATAGGGAGTAAAACACGGAAGTGGAAGAGCTGTCCATGCATTGACCAATCACACAAGAGCTCACAAACACCAACGAAATATTTGTTGTTGTACTTAACAAAGGGGTTTGGCACTAAAAACGATGGGACGTTTATAGGCTTAACGTTGGATTTAGATCGTGTTATAATCCAAATCCCCTAGAAAGAGTTGTAAGCACCAATTTTCATATGCCTTGTCATTGCACTAATAAAATAGTGTTAATAAAAAATAGAATATTGACTTTAAAAGATTTAAAATTTGTGCGAAGTTATGACACTAATGCTAACCATGTGCTATGTTCACATGGCAGCATTCTATCGGAGCCAAACTACTTCTCCTCCCACAGATTAACAGGAGATTATCTCCAATGCGTTCATACAGTCGGGAGCCGAACGAGACCAGAGATCTGCCAGAGTTCGACTCAGTTCGATCAGAGTCGAACGAAACAATGCCCTTGAATAATTAGTGACTGAAAACGATTTTAGTGTCGTGCTTGTGTTTTTTCTTTACATGGCATGATGTTGTTGAGCTAGGAGAAAAAAGAGCCTGAGAATGGAGGTAGAAAAGACAATGACTGGTATTATGATTTAGGTACTAGTATCTCGAATAAACAGGAAACACGGCAGCTAAAATGCGTTTAATACAGCCTATTCGGTCAAGTTATTGTCGCATAATTTCGTACGCCATTTTCTGTTTCCCATTGAGCTATCAATCTATCGCAATAATTCGTTACTATATATTAGGACGCGTACCTCTTATTCAAGCCAGAAATTATGAAAGATGTTGTCTCCGCCATAATTGAAATGAGAGGTTACTCGAAGAAGTTTACACGATCGGAGCCATGTCGGGACTCAACCCTATCGGAGTTCAACCCCGAGGGTTTAGTGGAGCCGAACGCGTTTACACGGTCATTTTTGCTGGCTCGAGCCGTTGGGCTCTGATAAAATACTGTTGTGTGAACGTAGCAATGGACATTAGATAAACACAGATTGTTTGTGACAGAAAGCTTATCACCCGTTAAATCAGAATCATCAACAACGTATGTAGATAGAATGTTATCATTTAAACCATCCTAACGATAAACATTATGAAAATACCTACAAAACCTTTAGTGTTTAAAACACTCACTCATTTGAATAGCGTCATTCCGAAATTTTGATCTTTCTGAAAAGCAGGGCTGATGTATCAGGGTCTAAAGTAACCGTTTTATCAATTTTTGAAAAATCCATAATAGCAGTTTGTTTATTTTAATTTTTACCTCAGTGACTTCATATGATTTTAAAGGTACTATGTCAAGTAGAGTGACTTCATATGATTTTAAAGGTACTATGTCAAGTAGAGTGACTTCATACAATTTTAAAGGTACTATGTCAAGTAGAGTGACTTCATATGATTTTAAAGGTACTATATCAAGTAGAGTGACTTGTTTATTATTTTCAGGCATTTTCCACTCTAGGACATGATGCAATGTTCCATGCAAGACTGATGGGTATAAAGACAGTATTCACAGATCATTCATTATTTGGTTTTGCTGATGCCAGTTCTATACTTACTAATAAGATACTAAGGATTGTACTATCAGGTGTGAATCACGTCATTTGTGTATCCCATACAAGGTAGGTACTGAATCAACAAAAATATCCAATATTTGTATAATATTTAATATTTTCCTTATATGATGCTGTACAATATATATTATGTACTGTAAAACTCTAAACATTACCCAGTTATAAATAATTAGTCTCAAAAAATGGTCAGGTTTTTAAAATACAAAATTAAAGTGACATAATAACTAGTTGAATTTTCAGAGTAAAGATTATTGTCAAATGATGGATCACACACATGGTGCATCATTTTTTGTCAGAAAATTCTGTTTCAACCCTCATAGGTTGATGAGAGGACAAGTATCTATTTATCCACAATTACATGTGTTGAAATGTACTCACAATAAACTTCTTTTAAATGCAGCAAAGAAAACACTGTTTTAAGAGCTAGCATAAACCCATCCATGGTGTCTGTTATTTCCAATGCAGTAGATGCGACTATTTTCACACCAGATGTTACAAAGCGAAGTCAGATAAAAGTGAGTAGTACTGGTAGTAGATGTACTATGATAATTTAAAATAAATATACTGGGCTTTTGAGCTC